AATCCTACAATTTTTTGTTTATAACGTAGTTTATACGGATTATTTTCAAAAAAATATACGTATTTTGGAAATGTTGAGTCGAATTAGTCTAGAATCGATTAATTTTATGAAAGAAAACCTTTCAAACAGCCGTAGTCCGTAAACTATGATTCCTACAAAATTGATTCATAAAGAATGGAACGTATCTACCGTCTTATAGGGGGATCTACTGTAGTAGAAAACATGTACTAAAATGTATTAAAATTTCAGCAAAACTCAGGATGTTGAGTTTGGATATCTATTAGTTTTGTTGACATCAATATTCAATTTAAAAATAATACCTCATCAAACCTTTAACCGGTATTAAATTTGATTAAGATTAGATGCAAACGTTTTCGGATCCTTTCCTGGGTCCTTTCTCAAGCACAGATTCTTCTTTAAAATTCGTTAAAAAGACCAGTAGAACGAACTTCTTTTGAATGCGACGTTCGAAAAAATATAAATCCTTCAGAACAACATTTCAAAAGTCAAACTAACGTGCATCACGTGCATTCCAGTATTCCGTAAACAACAAGGAATGTTGTTTACGGAATACTGGAATGCACATGAATACTGGAATGCACGTTAGTTTGACTTTTGAAATGTTGTTCTGAAGGATTTATATTTTTTCGAACGTCGCATTCAAAAGAAGTTCGTTCTACTGGTCTTTTTAACGAATTTTAAAGAAGAATCTGTGCTTGAGAAAGGACCCAGGGAAGGATCCGAAAACGTTTGCATCTGATCTTAATCAAATTTAATACCGGTTAAAGGTTTGATGAGGTATTATTTTTATATTAATCCGGTGTTTGAAGATTTTTATTTTTAATATTCAATTTAATTCTAACATTTCTAAACCTAAAACAATCTGCTTGACTCATTGTATATAACTAAATCACTAGTTTGAGCCAAACACCTCAGGACATCTCTCAAGGTATCCTGGGGCTATAGTCTGCTGTGTGAGATCTACTTGCAAGATAAGACTTGTAATGCCTGATGGGATAGGTATATGTCATCATCTTGCTAGAACTCACTGAAGCTAAGTCTGCAGTGCGAGAAGTGATTGTGATTATCCGTTACATTTAACTCTACTCGCCTTCCCACTACACAATGAGAACTCACCTGGCCACTCACTAATCTCATGATTTCTTTTCATCAATGTTTTTTTTGTTTCTTGTTACCTTTGAAATCATTTAATACATACAAAAATGTTTCATAAATTAAATCATTTGGTTGTAGACTATTGATAGACATGTTATATTTTCATTTAATATGAACACATTTTTAATATAACTTTTTAAATTAAGTTTTAAATATGCTTGCCAAAGATTTAATTGCACATTACAACAGGGGTTTTTTAATGATTCAAATAGTTTTTCTGAGTTCACTATTAAATATTTCAATATTTAAAATTCTATGCTATATATTAATATACAAATATTAGAAACTCATTAGTTTAATTTTAACCAGCAATGTAATGTTCCAATGAGTTATATTTTTATTGATCTACAACACACACACACACACACGTATATATATAGTATGAATTAAATTTTATAGGCCTATAATTTTCCTATAACAAATTAATTCATTATTAAAACTACCAATTACATTATTTAGTTATTATTTATAACTAACAAATATAGCCCATCTTTACTTTTCTCTATTTATCTGTGATTTTAGAGCACCAATGACATTGGCATTCAGTAAAATATTGAAATCCTCCTATAATTTTACCTATCTTTTGTTGTAAATGATATGATATCTAGAAAATTTTATATATTTTTATGTTCATCCCAAAAATTAATTATTAGTTTGAGCTGCCTCACCATCACTAGCTTCTCTGCTATATTACTAAATAACTTCACTTGCAACTCCTTCAGTTTGTATTGTGCTTTCCTATTGGCTAAATAAAAGCAAAAGTTGTTTTAGTCTGAAAGCAGCAACTTTATACAATTGTAATTGTCCCTGTCACCAAGCGGACTTGCAAACTAGTTGATGTCCAACTTCAACTTACAATAATGAGTTCAGTCAATTGTGACATCATCAAACATGGTTCAACAACTTCTCATATAGCAGAGTAGAGCCCGAGATGACTAAATGGGTATATGCAACCTTAAAAGACTTCCATTAAATCTAAATTTTGATATCAATTTTTTGGCAAGAATGTATAGCAATAAAATCAAATTTTTTTATTTAAAATAATGAAAATGACTTTGATCTTCCTAGCCACACACTTTAGATGGTAAAAGAGCTTGCGATGTGTTTGTCTTTTTCTGAAGCCATATTGTGGTTGCTGGATAATATACTGAAGTAGTTTTAACTATTCTTGAAACAATTGTTGATTAACTACCGATATTCTGACATAAATCATTGTTGTCACCAGTTTAAATGTATAACAAAGAGACATGATATATTTCTGGATTGTTAGAGGATCCTTTACATCACATTTATTCTATTGTGATACCAAACCAAAGAATACTTCCCAATACAAAGACAATAACTTAGTCGATTATTTCTAGCCTTGATCCTGAACAGAGTTGATATGGTGCCATTAAAGCTTATATGTTACTAGCTTACCCGTCGCGCATTGCTGCGATCTCAGAAGAAATGAAATTCANGTGCTACACTTTGTTATATGTAACAGCCGGAAAAGTAAAAATTATCGAATACATATTTATATATTACTTAGAGGAGTCTTTTAGCTTTGAAATAAAAAGTTTCTATGTTCTATCTTTATTAGAACTCTATTTCTTGAATCTTTTATTCTGAGGTCACGTGATGACATCAGAATTCCCGGGTCTATTTCGGTAACAGGTCCGACCCTGGTCAGAGTCAGAAGTGGATGGTAAGGAAAAGTCGAAGTCAGATGGTAAGGAAAAGTTGAGTCAGTAGATTTTTACGCAACTCCACAGCCCTGATTTATTTTATACTAATCAGCCAAATTAGTTATAACATTTACTTGGTAAATGTTATGACCATCCTCATACTGTCAGAAAGGAAAATACCTTGTCCTTTCTGACAAGTATGAGGATGGATGTTTTGCACATGATTTGCAGTTTGTGCCAACTGTTGCAGCTTTGTTTTTTCCAAAGTATTCATAGTTGGTTGACATCTGAAATTGTAGTCAGGAGGGAAACAGACTTACTTTTGTTGCTCAACACCTTGACAACAGGACCAACAGGGAACATGGAGAATAGGTAGTACTGGTTCAAGATGAAAACTGTTTTCAGTCAGTAGAAATTAAATTTGTACTGTTTTTATCACTATTGTAGCACATATGGCTAAAAATTATCTTCTAACTTTTAAATGTTTGAAATTTTAAAATAATTTAAACACATTGTTTGATGCATTCTATATTTGCATTGTACTGGTCAAAAGACTGAGAAAGACCATGATTATGGTCAAAAACATTAGTTTTAATTAAAATTTGTCATTACTGGGATATAATAAGGTTCTCATGGGTTGATTAGAAATTAATGCATTTATTATATATATTAAGGCCATGCCTAAAATATTGCAAACATAATGTCCAGAAGCAAGATGGAAACCAGAACAGCCTCCAATTCTTTTGAAGATAGACGGACAAGTAATGTGATGTCTGACACAAATTGGGATTTCACATTTGGAGGTGAATATCTTGAAAAGGATCTCACGTCAGACTTTTCTTTACTCTTTATCAATAAATATCATTAGAATGTCCGACCACCATGCTAGGCAGTCTGTTAAACACACAATAGACATAGCAGAGCACACATCACAATTCCCTATAGCAGCGGAAGTAAACTGATTTCTGAGGGCCATATCTCACAAAGGATCACATTTAGAAGTATGGATCCTTTGACTTTCTTATTCCCATGGGCATGCTCTACAGTTCTGCTAAGGTCCCAACAGTGTCATTCACATCTGCAATCTTACCAAATAAAGCATTTCATGTTTATCATATTTTAATTTTCAAATAGATGGAATACATTTTACCCATTTCTGATATTAAATTACATATAAATGCATTAAGATAAAATTGCACTCTGAATTATTATAATACATTCAATTTAATAAACTTTATAATTCAGTAATTTTTTGAAAAAATAACAAAGCTTATTATATTATTAATGCTACGATCAAAAATCAAATCAATTTTAGTAGCAGTAAGAATCGCAAAATGCCTTCCGCCATTTTCGCGCTCACCTTTGACAATCTTTCGACGAGAGACGCTTTCACTCCTCCTTTGTCCAAACCTCTCTTTTCTAATTCTAATCTCAAATCAACAACTCTTAAATCTGCGAGTTTACGCAAAACGCAATCCGGTTCCTCGGCCATTAAATTATTACTTTTTGTTTTCCTTTCCCTTAAAACTAATGAAAAGACAATGGTTAGTCCACAATTTGAAATCGATCAAACACACAGTAAAATGCTCGTATACACACGCGCCATCTATCGTAGGATAAATGTACTATGCCAGAAACCTTCGCGGGAGTATATTAAACAACTTCCCAAAGTTTCACAGCAATCAAATAAATGGTGTGGTAATGCATAAAGGACAGACAGTAAAGGACAGACAGACACACACACACATTCATTTTTATATATATAGATTATGTTTGGCTAGGTGCTTTCTTTTTCTTAGTCTTTTTTGAATGCATGTCAAAATTCAATTACTGATTAAACCAATAACCATACCCAACAGGAAAATACATGAAAATAAATATCACACAAATACCTTAAGAAAGCTCCAGAAAATATTTTTTCTTTAATCAAGAATATTTTTGAACCAGTTTGATGGTTAAACTTCAGTTGCTTACAACTCTATTCAAAGTTGAATTATCAAACTGGTTTGAAAACATTGATTTAAAGAAAAAATTTTTGCTGGAGATTTCTTAAGATATTTGTTTGATTTATTTCAGGGCTGTGAAGTTAGAGTCGTGGAGTTTTGGTGTTTTAGCCGGAGTCGTCAAAAAATCCGCCAACTCCGACTCCTTTTTACTTACCAACTTGTTATGTATATAAAACGGAAAAGTATTGGAATTGTGTCAAATTTGACCCTCCAAGTTTTTTTTGCAAATCTACACGTTTGGAGACCTCCCGAACACCTCAAAAAGGTCAATAAAAGGGGAAAAAGTGTGTGTGTGTGTGTGTGTGTGTGTGTGTGGGAGTCTAATTTGTTTAATTTCTTTATTACATAATACTATTAAATTTTGGTTCTTAATTAAAGGTCGACAGGGTGAAGACATAAAAGGAGTCATGTGTCATATGTCTTCATGAATATTTTACTCGTTATTAGTGTTCAAAATTTAAAAAAATAAAATAAAACTTGTCTCTATCCTCAAAGTAAGCTTTTTTTTGTCATTTTATAATAGTACAGTAAAACCCGTTAAGATGTTCTCGCCTAAGATGTTAGAATGTGTATGGGGACACGATTTAGTTCAACCACTTTGACGCTTAATAATTAACTGCTGTGTTAAACCATCTGACTCCAACTCTGACCACTTTGACCACAGAAATTATTAGGCTTCAAACAGGGTGAACAAAATCATGTCCCCCCCACACAATCTAACATCCACACATATAGAAAAAACCTCAAATCTTTTGCTTAATTAACTTGAAATTTCAACATGTTCTGAGTCCAAAAATGTAAAAATTTGGGAGGGGCCATTTTTTGACCAAGTGCTACACTTTGTTATATGTAACAGCCGGAAAAGTAAAAATTATCGAATACATATTTATATATTACTTAGAGGAGTCTTTTAGCTTTGAAATAAAAAGTTTCTATGTTCTATCTTTATTAGAACTCTATTTCTTGAATCTTTTATTCTGAGGTCACGTGATGACATCAGAATTCCCGGGTCTATTTCGGTAACAAGTCCGACCCTGGTCAGAGTCAGAAGTGGATGGTAAGGAAAAGTCGAAGTCAGATGGTAAGGAAAAGTTGAGTCAGTAGATTTTTACGCAACTCCACAGCCCTGATTTATTTTATACTAATCAGCCAAATTAGTTATAACATTTACTTGGTAAATGTTATGACCATCCTCATACTGTCAGAAAGGAAAATACCTTGTCCTTTCTGACAAGTATGAGGATGGATGTTTTGCACATGATTTGCAGTTTGTGCCAACTGTTGCAGCTTTGTTTTTTCCAAAGTATTCATAGTTGGTTGACATCTGAAATTGTAGTCAGGAGGGAAACAGACTTACTTTTGTTGCTCAACACCTTGACAACAGGACCAACAGGGAACATGGAGAATAGGTAGTACTGGTTCAAGATGAAAACTGTTTTCAGTCAGTAGAAATTAAATTTGTACTGTTTTTATCACTATTGTAGCACATATGGCTAAAAATTATCTTCTAACTTTTAAATGTTTGAAATTTTAAAATAATTTAAACACATTGTTTGATGCATTCTATATTTGCATTGTACTGGTCAAAAGACTGAGAAAGACCATGATTATGGTCAAAAACATTAGTTTTAATTAAAATTTGTCATTACTGGGATATAATAAGGTTCTCATGGGTTGATTAGAAATTAATGCATTTATTATATATATTAAGGCCATGCCTAAAATATTGCAAACATAATGTCCAGAAGCAAGATGGAAACCAGAACAGCCTCCAATTCTTTTGAAGATAGACGGACAAGTAATGTGATGTCTGACACAAATTGGGATTTCACATTTGGAGGTGAATATCTTGAAAAGGATCTCACGTCAGACTTTTCTTTACTCTTTATCAATAAATATCATTAGAATGTCCGACCACCATGCTAGGCAGTCTGTTAAACACACAATAGACATAGCAGAGCACACATCACAATTCCCTATAGCAGCGGAAGTAAACTGATTTCTGAGGGCCATATCTCACAAAGGATCACATTTAGAAGTATGGATCCTTTGACTTTCTTATTCCCATGGGCATGCTCTACAGTTCTGCTAAGGTCCCAACAGTGTCATTCACATCTGCAATCTTACCAAATAAAGCATTTCATGTTTATCATATTTTAATTTTCAAATAGATGGAATACATTTTACCCATTTCTGATATTAAATTACATATAAATGCATTAAGATAAAATTGCACTCTGAATTATTATAATACATTCAATTTAATAAACTTTATAATTCAGTAATTTTTTGAAAAAATAACAAAGCTTATTATATTATTAATGCTACGATCAAAAATCAAATCAATTTTAGTAGCAGTAAGAATCGCAAAATGCCTTCCGCCATTTTCGCGCTCACCTTTGACAATCTTTCGACGAGAGACGCTTTCACTCCTCCTTTGTCCAAACCTCTCTTTTCTAATTCTAATCTCAAATCAACAACTCTTAAATCTGCGAGTTTACGCAAAACGCAATCCGGTTCCTCGGCCATTAAATTATTACTTTTTGTTTTCCTTTCCCTTAAAACTAATGAAAAGACAATGGTTAGTCTCTATCTATATCAACGACAGTAAGCCTATCCTCCTTTTTTTTTTTTTTTTTTTCTCTTTCTATCACAAAAAATTGCCGGTAGAGGGATCGTTGTAAAATTCCGATGTGCAACAAAATATTTAAGAATTTAATATTTTAAATAATTCTACACTAATTATTTCGAGGTTTGAAATTTTACTATGGATAAAATAAAATTTATAAAATAAAAAAAAAAACACGAAAATCAAAAAAGTTATAATTTTAATTTTTTCCATCGATTTATTTTATTTGATTTAATAAACTATTTTCGTATTTATATACAATATTATTATACTATATATCAAAATAGAATGATTTAAATTTTTAATGTAACTAAAATAGCTGTTAATCGTTTGCTAGATTCGGTAAATACGCCATATTATATGTGAATATGCTGTGTCAGAATCTATGAATGTATTTGTCTTTCAGACTGGTAAATTTGACCAATGATCGATTGAATAAAACCACTGAAGTTGGTCGCGCGTTCCTGTTCTCCAACAGGTTGGCCAATGTTTTCCGGGTTTTCTTCACTTGTCTAACACCTAAATAGGTGCCAGTTTTCTATATAAAGGCCTCCTGAGAACAGGGACGTTTTAACAATTAGGAGAACTAGGCACGTGTCTAAGACCCGGGAAACTGAGGCACGCAACTCGAAAAGATGTAAAAAAATAAGATTAATACCGGTACTGTTTTACAAAAATACAAACTCATTAAATGTTTTTATAAATAATAAGTAAAATATCTGTCTTACTGTACGGTACATTTTAATTATATTTAGATTAATAAATACCTCGCCAGTCATCTAACCCACCGCCAGCGTGACGATCTAGATGGCCGAGTGGTTAAGATGCTAGCATAATGCTTTGTGGGGATTTCCCAGAGCGCTATGCTAGCATCTTCGGCTTGGTCGAAAAACTCCAGGAATTTCTTGGGGATGGTCTTTCCCAAATATGTCGGGGCCGGCCGAATGGCCGAAGGGCCAAAGTAGCAGCCTACCGCTCTGGGGGACCCGAGTTCGAATCCGAACGGGTCGAAAAATCCCCAGGAATCTTTCGGGGGTGGTCCGTTCGGATATGTCGGGCCCCGTCCCTCACCACCCGGCAGCCCCATTGCGGGCCTGGCCGAACCCATAATGGGCTGCAAAAAGAGGCCCTCTTAGTGCCCACAGGGCGGAAAGAGTTTAAAAAATACAGAAAGAGTTTTAAAAAAGACTTTTCAAGCCTCGTTCCTTCGCACCACTCCAATGTGGACCTGGCCGAAAATTTTAAAGATAATTTTATTCCCAAAACATCAGGGGCCATATTCTGATCACCGTCTCTGGTAAGCCAGTCGCTGATTGGCTAATCATTTGGATTAGCCAATTAGCAATCGGCTTATGACAGACGAGAATACGGCCCCAGGTTTCTTTCTTTGCCATTCTGCAACCTCGTTGGAAGGTTTATTTTCATTTTTGGTTCTTTCCACCCTTTCCACTAACAGGGGCTGTTTAGGAGACCCGATTATGAGTACGACCAAGTTCATAATGGAGGAGAGCGGATGGTGAGGAACGAGGGTCAACAAATGTAGAATAGACCGTCTACGAAAAATTCCTGAGGTTGCTCGTCCGGATTCGATCCCGGGTTTCCTAGAGTGGTAATCTGACGCTTTAACCGTCTCGGCCATTCGAATGGTTTTATTGGGACTTAATAGAACTTTCGATGGATTGTTAAAAAAAGTTTTCTTAGTACTTGCAGGCATAAAAAGTTTTTCAAAGTTCGGAATTATGTAAGAAAAGGTTCTGAAAAGCTAGGAATCTGTCTAAAATTTCAAACTTAAAATCAGAAGAGCTGAATCTATCTTGGCAGCTAAAGCAAAGATATTAGAGTATCAATGTAATACCGTAACATTTCTACATATATAGCATTCATAGTATCACAAACTTCAGTAACACTTTTGATTATAATTTTTGTGATATTTATATTCTTAGCAATAAAATTATCTTCAAAGAATATGTTGGAAGTTCGATTGAAATTGCTTTTATTTATTTATTTTATATTTAGGGACATAGTATCCTCCTCCAATAAAATAGTTAGTTCTAGTTATTTATGTATATGTAAATTAATCATATATTTTACAAAATACATAACAATCATACATGTCCATATAATAATTTCTTACAAACATTCTTAAATCTTTTCCTTCCCAGCTCTTTTCTCCGAGTGACGATTTTCCCCCTTTTCTCCCGTGCCCAATCCGGTGTCACCCTATTCTCGAGTGACCCATCGGACCATTGGATCAACCAATTATGGTGAGGTCAATAGAACAAACGCCGAAAGTAAAATTTATGAAAGGAAAATGGTGAAAGAAAACGAAACACACACACAAAAAAAAAGCAAGGTTCAACCAAGCCACAACAGAGTTCAGTGGTTTTATCCATTTGCTTATTTGTGGGCCCATATATACGGTATAATACGCTACGCAAGCGGCCGGATGGCCGAGCGGGTAAGGTGGCATCTTACCGCTCTGGGGAACCCGGGCTCGAATCAGGACTGGCCGAAAAATCCCCAGGAATTTTTCCAGGGGGTGGTCCGTTCGGATATGTTGGGTCCCGTCTCTCGCCACCCGGCCGCCCCATTATGGGCCTGGCCGAACCCATAATGGATCTGCTGAAAAGAGGCCTTCTTAGTGCCCACAGGGCGGAAAGAATTAAAAGAAACTCTACGCAAGTTATAATTTTAGAAATACAGTATATTATAAAAAAGTTAAATCAATGAAAATTATATACTCGATTCATATTAAAAATATTTTCTTAATAAACTTTAATCTTTATATTTTTAAAATAAATATAATTTGTAGGTGATATAATAATTATTAACCAATAACAGCAAGAAATCAATTTTACAACGAAAGTCATCTGCCATCAAGTTTAATTATATATTTTATATTTGATTTTTATTTCATATTTATGTTTTATTTTTATTTAATAAGTTAAAAAAAAAAAAAAAAATGTATACTGTTCTTGTTTAATATTAAGAATACACCGAAGCGTTCATAAATGTAGAGGTCGTAATGTTCGTATGACGTAATATACCAAAACCGAACGAACCAATTACTCGATGTAAAATCTGAACGGTATCGTAATTTTGTTAGTTGTATTTTCTGTCTGTTTTCTAGAAAATCGATTGTATATCGTTCTGATCGAACTTCTCCAATCTGTCATGAGTTATCAATTGTATCGAAATACCACATTAGGTAATACTTTGCAAGAAAGTCTAGATGAATTAATTCAGGTAAGAATTTATAGAAGGAAATGTATGAATTTTTCGCTAAGAAGGAATAAAAGTCTATAGTCATTTTTAAAAATGAATTCAGTAAATCAAGTATCTTTTGTATTGTTATAATTAGTGTGTTAAAAATTTTATAAGATGAAGTTTTAATTTATCGAATATTAGGCAAAAGAGATTGGGTATAATTGTAGTTCATGTAACTTACATGTATTGAATTTGATAGAAAGAAAATACACCAAGACACATGTACTGTACAGTACATATAATATTCTAAATTAACCCAATGAATTACATAATACAAGATAAATAATTTTTAATACACTGAAATTTATTATTTAAAATTAAAATATCTTGAATGAGATTTTGAACATAAAACTTATTCAAGTAATTTCAATTTTTTATATTTTTTAATAAAGGTACATTTCTTAAAAAGCAAAATGTTTTTACAACTTGCAAACTGTGAAAATAGATGTCTGTTTTCTTTCTTTATTAACAAAATGTTATCACAGACATGGGAATAAACAAAATTCAAGGACTATTGTCAGTGTTGAAAGCCTAAGATTTTTATTTATAATTGAAATAGTTAACAGGTTTTTAAAAGAATGTAGACATTGGACATGTTAGTTTATTTTGTTTTTAAACTCGTACGTATTGTCCATTAAGTTTGATCAGTCTGTTCAAATTCGGCAGAATTTTTTACGATGGGAATACTACTTCAATAATATGATCTTTTATATGTCCTCAGTGTTCTTTGATTTGATAGCACAAATATTGTACTCTTACAAAAAATGTTAAAAGATCCCCAAATATACTGGATTTCGAGATCTGTATGGTGCAGCTTGGCCTTTGTGGCCCTTGCGCCAAAAAACTGCAACCAACCAATAGTGATCTGTACAATACTCTCAAGATTCATTATTTCACTTTGAAAAAAATGCACATTTTCCAACATTGTCTTCAGTCTTTTCTAAGTTTGATGGCATTTCTTTTTCATTTACAAAAGTTTGTTATGCTATTTACTCATTGTCTGATTCTACTAATATTTTGAATCATGTTTATGTTGTTTTTTTACATCCAAGTTATTGCTGTTATAATTCCTTGTTTTTTTTTTTTGATTCAATAGTCCATGTTTTTATTCCCAATCATGGATGAACTCTACATGTATTGCTATCCTCAAAAATGATATTATTTTGTCCCACTTCTATTTCATCTGCAATGAAGAAAGATTTCTGAGTTCTGCTTATATGACTGCATTTATTCTAAAGAATATGCTTGAATTTCACCCTTCTAGCATTGCTCTATCCTTTGTTCCACACAATACAGTAAGAAAATCAACACCTTATATAATTTTTCCAGCATGAAGAGTTTGTATAACAAACATTTTTGGGTTATTTTCTAAACCTGCTTCAGATTTGAAATTATACAATTCGAAATTCCCAAATTGGAATGTTTTCAAATATTCAACAACATTATTTATAAAATTCTTTTTAAATATTATAAATGTATAAATGTAAATATGTATTTTTTTAACAGATATTAATGAAGTACTGAGTATATAAATAATAAAATTAAAAATATAATAAAAATACAAATAAAGAAAACTGCAGAAATTTCATACATTTATGCATTTTTTATGTATAAATAATTTATCTGTAAGATTCTTGAAGAATGATCACCATGCATAGGATAGGGATTCTGGGTCTTTATGGTTAACACAATTATTTTTTAATGTGGACTTGAATATTTCCAATGTTTCCAGTGTTCTTCAGTGATGTTCATCATAGGCTCTTTTTTTTTATCATTCTTACTTCATTTAGATTTGTGGACACCCCAGGCTCTGTTGCATATTAAGCTAAAATCATTGTCGGTTTGTTATCTATGTCATATTTATGTTTATTGATTTTGCATTTTAAATATGTAATTGCTGACTCAATGTATGTAGGTTGGCAATTAAATCTTTCATCTGTTACTGGGATTGAATATACATCTGGTGTGTTGTTATCTATCTCATCTTTACTGTTGTGTAGCAATTTGTAGATTGAGGCATTTCTATGGTATAAGCTGGCATTTAAATATTTAGCAATTTGTTTATAAATTGATGAGTTTATTAGCAAAGTCTATAATTATTCATCTAGTTCAGTGGTTCCTAATCTTTTTTTACCGATGGACCCCTTTTCCTCTTAATTTTTTTTTGGGACTCCCATAGACATTGCACAGGAAAAAAAAACCTTATATTTTTCACTAATAAAAAAAGAAAGGAAAATGTTCAGAAATGTCATGTCAAGTGACTTGACACTGATGGTATAAGATTCTCCTAACAAACCCCTGCTTTAAAATCTCTCTTTGATCTTTGTCAATGAAATATGTATTCAATATTTTAACCCTTATGCAAGAAATGAGTAATAAAGAAATTGACAATATATATACTGTAGAAATTTAATTCTCAGTAAAACAATTGTTCTGAAGTAGATCTATCCCTATAGATCACTAAAATATCACCGTGAACCACAATTCAATATTTTTTTTCTGTAGACTCCCCCAATTAATGTTACTTGGGCCCCAGTTGAACCACTGGTCTAGTTGTTGGCATGTGTGGTTGTTCATTAGTGACTTCAGATTGTGAATACTTCATGTATGAGGTCTGTTTAAAAAATATGCGGACTGTTTGAATTGCGCGGCTCCAGTTTGTTTCAGGGGAATCAGCTTGGTATTGCTAGATTTGTACAGATCGTCTGGTGGTAAAGCCATTTCTCGATTATAGATATCTTTATTTGTCGATTAGCTGCGCGGTTTTTAGTGAAGTGCGATTTTTTCGTTTGTCAGATTTCAGAATGAATGACATGATGGAGCAACGACTTGCTGTGAAATTTTGTGTTAAACTTGGAAAATCTGCGACTGAAACATTTGCTATGCTCAACCAGTGGGTAGGTGAAACGTCCCCCAGACCCAAAAAAAAGCTCGCCAAGTTCGATCCAATGTCAAAGTGATATTGACAGTTTTCTTTGATGCTAAGGGTGTTGTTTACCACGAGTACCTCCCCCAAGGCTCCACAGTGAACCAGACTTACTACGTTGCAGTTCTGAAACGTCTGAGAGATGCCATCCGTCGCAAAAGGCCAGAAATGTGGAGGAGTGGTGATTGGTTTCTCCATCACGACAATGCTCCAGCCCATTCAGCCCTCAGAACTTGAGTTTTTGGCCAAACACTCGATCACTGTTCTTCTCCACCCCTACTCACCTGACCTTGCTCCTTGTGACTTTTTCTTGTTCCCCAAACTCAAAAGACCCTTGAAAGGAAGAAGATTTGAGACGATTCCTGAGATTAAGGCAAATGCGACGAAGACGCTGAAAGACATCACAAAAGAATCATACCAGGACTGTTTCAACAAGTGGAAACAACGTTGGGATAAGTATGTGCGTTGTGAGGAAAGTACTTTGAAGGGGACCCAGACATGTAACTTCTACATAAAGTACATTTTGTTTTATGACATCAGTCCGCGTATTTTTTGAACATACCTCGTATTTCATTTTTTTTGTGTCAGGTTTTGTATAAACTTTTTATTAAATTTGTGTATTTTGGCTATTTCTTCTATATATTTGAGCTCTATCTTGGTATTTGTGATGTCAGAACAATGTATATATGGTCTGACTAGAGTTCTGAATGCTGTGATTTTAACATAAAAGGGTCATATGAATGTGAAGGTACGAATAATGGATGATAATTTGATTGTATTAATATATTCATTTTGAAGAGTTGTATTTATATCAAGGAAGTGGGCCTCTTTATTGCTGCATTGCTTTAATTTTAAGAAAAGACCATAGGTGTTATTGTTAAAAGCATTAAATACCCTGTTAATGTCTGGTTTTGATTTCCATTTAAGAATATCATCTACATATCTGTTGTTGAAGATAATTTCTGGTGAGAAATCTCTTAAAACTTCATTTTCAAGTTCTTGTGACCAATTCGTATAAGTCATCTGAAAAAGGACTATCCATCAATACATCCCATTTTTGGATGTAATTGCAGTTATTATATTTGAAAAAAGACATATTACATAATAAGTGGGCTAGTTCTAACATCTGTTTGTGATGTAGATGTGGCAATTAAATACACTTGAAAAGAAAATCAAGTAGTACACAAAAGCATGGTTTTAACTGTATTGACAGATACAGTAAGGCAAAATTTAGCACCATGATTTACTCATTGTTTTTTAAAGTAATTTCATTTAACTTGGCAACTAATTTTTGCAGATCTTGTACCAAGAATTTATAATTTTTCAGGTGTTCTACTAAAAACCTATGAATATGTTTTTCTAGCTTAATGGAGACCTGGTTTTATCAACAATGGGACGAAGTTGTATGCCTGGTTTAACAAATGTAAAGAGCCTTGGGGTGTCTGGGGATGTCACAATAGTCTGTGTAATTGTAATGTTTTAGCTAACTTGTATAAACATAAACATGCTATACAAACTCTTCATGCTAGTGAACATTGTCGCTGGTCCAAGTGTAGTGCTGAAATTTAATGAGGGCATCGAGCATTTCCAAGTTGTGAAGACCTTGCAAAGTGTTGATGAGCATATGTAATTTGCCTCTTTTTATGCTTACAATATGGACAGTTTGTATCAACTTTGTTGTATACACATATGTCATAATATACAATCATATATGGCATAATATACATATAAGTTACAAACATACACGTTTCTATAGGATAAAGAATAGAGATCTCAAGAGACTTAATAATTTCAAGTACTAGTATTTCTTATATATAGGGGTTAAAAAATGGAAATTTTTTCAAATAACGAATATTTTCTTGGGTTTGTGGGAAATCCGTTGTTCACAATATAACAGATTCTCGGAACAATCGATAATTTTTGTCAGCCCAAGCAATCTGTTAAAATGAGATTCTTCTGTAGTTATCCATTCCAGTTGTAATTTTGAACTTTACCACACAATCCAATTTGTTACAAATACAAATCAATATCCTAGACATGTAAATTATGTAAA